ATTCTCTTTGTCAGCACCTTAGGAAATTTATAGAGAATAGTATGGAGAATATGCATACTGATGTTAAGGCATATAGGGTTAAAAGTGATTCTTTTGCTCTGCTGATACCGGTATTATGGCTCAAAATGTCATGTAGAACGTTATGTTTGCAAAGCTATTTTCGGTGTATTAAACTTTGATTACCTTGAAAAAAAAAAAACACACACACACACACATTGACAAGTAGCATTCATCAAACTAAATGTTTGCACTTGATCTTTGATTTCAGGTTAATGGATCAGAGTGAAGCTAACCGTATGAATGCACAGAATCTGGCCATTGTTTGGGGCCCAAATCTCATGTGGCCTCGCTATGATTCTGGAGACATAGCAGTTAACATGGTCCATCAAAACCAAATAATAGAATTTCTACTTTTGGAATTTGACTCTGTGTTTAAATAGGTGTAAACTTAATGTCAGCAAACAAGTATTTTTCAACAGATTATTGTAGCAGTAGTAGTAGTAGTAGTACCTACAGCTTGTAACACCAGCTTGTCGCAATAACTGTTCAGGGTTATGACTTTTTACTCTGTGCTAGTTGCCTTTTTGCAGTTTAAGAAATGTACTTATATTGCAAGAGTGCTTTTATTTCCCATGTTGTGGAAGTGGTTTGGGCACAGTTCTTCGTGTGTTCTGTTGTAAATACTATAACCAAAAGAATGGTTGTAGTCACAATCTTTTGTGTAAATTGAATTGAATTTGAATGCAATGAGTAAATATGTATGATCAGTTAGACAACACTGTTCAAAAGGCTAAGTGAATCACAAGATTGAAATCTTCTATGATTTTTATATGAAGAGAATGGAAGAGTGATGGTAAAAGTTTAGTGTAAGTAGGTACCAATCATAAGCCATAGCATGTTCCACCTGCTATAGGTGCAGGTATGGAGATAGTTAAATGTAAGGATTGTTGGTTGTCCCCTTGGGTGCTGAGAATCAAAGACTGCAACAAACTGCAACGGTTTGTGGCATTGCAAGCAATCAAATTTTCTCACACGAGCAAACATGAGTTATGGATGTTGCATCTTTATGGTGAGGACTGTGAAGGCTCTTTCTCCAGTTGTCTGAAAGATGTTGTCAGCTTAGACATTGACTCTGTGTTTTGATGGTCTGGGAGAAAAATATCATTTCTGATTGAGAGTAACAGCCGTGAAAGAGTCTATGCTGACTGTTATTTTTTTACGACAATTTGTTGACTGAAAAGCTGTGTGAAGAGGAACAAAACAGTCTTATTTTTTTCTTTGATATAGACATAGTCACGATCCCAATTAGATTTATGACTTTTAAATTAGTCTTATTCTATGGTACACGAGTTTTCATTGTTAGCATCTCTTAATATGAGAGTTGACAAAGTGGTCTAATATAATATATTGACAGAAATGCAGGAAAAGTTCATTTAGTTGCCACCTGGGTGTAGAAGTAATTTCTGTGGGTTGTAATAAAAGTTTTATGAGTAATTGAGGTTGATTAATTGATGAAATTATTGCCATACAAGTCAGCCATCATTTAATGAATTTCTTAGATGATAAAAATTCTTAAGTGTTTCAATTTTGGGGGATTTCATATCTACGTATGCAATACATGATTTAGCAAGAAGCACATGCTTGCCTTAAAATAGGAAATGTTTTGTACTAGTCATCCAAAATGCTCAAATCTAACTGTCTGTTGGGTGCTATATATATGCATACAATGAGATAATTTATTCTTAAGAAATCTTTCTGCATTTTGTCTTGTAAAATATACAACAACGAAATCCCTGTTAATAAAGGGGATAAAGGCTTGGTCGCCAAGCTACCCGTTGTAAAACGTTGGTGTGATTTCTTTTCCTATTATTTGTGTCAAAGTCTACCATGTGAACGTATCCCTTGTGCGTTAACAGCATTTAGTCCTTAGATAAAGTTTATCTGACACATGAAACTTTCGTTTTAGAACTTTGAATTGGTTTTAGAAAAAAAGTGTTGCGAGCATGGCGGAGGAGTATTGTGGTGCACTTCTATAACTTAATAGTATTATGGGGCGCGATGTGAAAAGTCGTTGTGGGCCTATTTTTGGATCTCGGTTAGTTTTGACGCCTAAGCACCGATCACGTCATTCACATCTGTTCAGACTGTAATTGCAGAGAGATACTTTTGCATCTACCAGGTCAACCCGAGTAGTTTAAACTTTCAGTTTATCACTAGTAGAACTTTCGTTAAATTAAATTCAGGATGAAATATTACTATTTGTTATGATGTTTCTTTAGGGGAATATTTCATTTTGTCAGTTAGCCCTGTGGTTAATGAACGAAAGAGGAAAACTCGAGGTGGAAAGGCAAACATAAATTTGCGAGCTCACCTTCTGGCACTCGCCTATTTGGGGTGATGAACGAAGACTGTGTTTGCTGATTCTACAGTGTCATCAGTCTTGCGTCACATGAGATGTGCATGCGCAACACCGATCAGTGCAGGCGCCTTTGCCAAAGTCAGTGCTTTACGTAGAGGTGAGTGAACAAAAATATAATTTTTCTCACTCAATCAGAGCCATCCCTGTCTCTCTTATACCCTACAGATTCTTAAGGCATACGACCTATTTAAATTTTTGCAGGTTTACGCTTTTCCTTGTTGCCTTTTTTCACAGGACAATGATTGAAACTACCAACTACAGCGACGCCCACGAGGTCGCTGCTGAAACTTCCCGTGGAAATTCTCACGGTGAGGACGATATTACAAACAAAGACTTGGCTAAAACGCTCCAGTCCATGAACGAAAATATGAGCCAAACTGCAGAAATCTTACTTGAAATGAAACAAAGCAACCCCACCGGGGTATCTGGTAAAGCAACATCGTCGTCGAAGCGACGAAAACCAGATCAGATGAGTGACTCTGACACTGATAATGAAGGGCCGGCATCAAAACGGAAAAACCACTCTGATGATGATTTAAGCCTCCACGCTGAGGATGACTTGGACGTCGCTAAGGACGTCCACACGCTCACCGAGCAATCGAAAGCCACCGGCCAAAAATAGCGGGAAGCGTCCGCTAGTGAAACTCTGTTGCAAGAACTCGCTCACCAGCTCGACGATGACGAAGCCACCGGCGACAAAATCAAAACAGAGCTGGCACAAATAGCACAAAAGCGTTGGGGAAAAACCTTAGCTGCTGGTAAAATTAAATTCTTTGCAGAAAAGTACAAATGCCTTGAAAACTGCACAGCAATAAAGGGAACTAAGGTAAACAGTGAAATCTGGACACAGCTTAATTCTAAAAAACGATCTGCTGATTTAAATCTGTCAAATATGCAACAGACTATGCGCAAACTTACAAACAACTATCCTGCTACTCAGGAACCCCACCGGGGAATCTAATTCAAAGATTTTTGAGCCTCAAGTTGAGTCATTAGCCATGTTAAGTCATGTACACACGCAGCTCTCGCAGCTCAGGATAGAACAAATTAAACCGGCCTTAAAATCGGAATATAACACCATCTGCTCTGCAGACATACCAATCGACAGTGAATATCTCTTTAGAGACGATCTAGCTAAACAACTCAGAGATGCCAAGGAAGCTAGTAAAGTTAGCAAGGCTCTCTATACCACTCAGAAAGGGCATAAAAGCCAAAGCCATACAACTGGGTCACAGAACTACAACGCCTTTAAAGCGAAGAGAGATTTTTTGTTTTTGTGGAAAGACCACGACAAACCTTACAAAAGGAAAAAACAGCAGTCAGTGGAGAGAAAATAAGAGAAACCCTTTTGCAACTTAAAACAAATGTAAGTCTATTCTACGAATTTTTACCCACTCTTGTGGAACACTTTACTGAGATGTGCCAATCATTCTAGGCTGGGCAAATAGGTACCTGCCTTTCAGCTTGGAATGAAATCAGTAATGATAGAATGTTGCTATCTCATGTAAATGGTACACAGATTGATCTATTTGAGAAACCACAACAGAATACCCTGCCTTATACGCTAGTTACTGATGCTGAGAATGAAATTATTGAAAGAGAAATCTCTAAACTGCTTCAGAAAGGCATCATAGTAAAAGTGTCGCATAAGAAGGGGCAAATATTGTCTAGCATCTTCCTACGGCCCAAAAAAGACGGCAAGCATAGGTTAATATTGAACCTTAAAAGGTTTAACGAATCAGTTACCCATCATCATTTTAAGATGGACTCCTTGATTACTATTACAAAACTAATAACTAGACATTGTTACATGGCATCACTTGATCTCAAGGATGCCCACTACTCTGTCCCTGTTTGCGTAGAGCACAGGAAGTTTTTAAGATTTTTGTGGGAAAATCAAATTTATGAAGTTCCATGTGCAGCACGAATTTTCACCAAGTTGCTGAAGCCCCCACTCTCACGTCTACACAAATTAGGGCACATATCAGTAGCATACCTTGACGATATCTATCTCTAAGGCCAAAGTCTTCAAGGGTGTGTTGCAAATGTTATAGGTACAATCGTACTACTGAGTAATTTGGCGTTTGTTTTACACCCTGAAAAATCGTGCCCAAAACCAACACAAACCTTAACAATTTTGGGGTTCCCTATTGACTCTGTCACCGTGACCATACGGTTAACATTTACTGCATGACTGTGATATGCTTTTGAACTCTGAGCACCCTACTATTAGGGATGTAGCTAGAGTTATTGGGAAAATTATATCTAGCTTACCGGGTGTCATGCATGGTGCCTTATATTATCGTTGCCTCGAAAAGGATAAAACCCTATATTTGACCAAATCAAAAGGTAATTTTGAACACACCATGCAGTTATCAGAAAACGCGATATCGGAACTCCAGTGGTGGACTAGGTTGATAAATGCGGCGTACAATGTGATAGCACATGACAAACCATCTCACATTATCACCACTGATGCTTCCAAAAACGATGGGGGGCAGAATATAATGGTGTACCCTCTGGAGGACTATGGACAAATCAAGAGAGTGATCAATCTATTAACTATCTTGAGCTGTTAGCCATATTTCTGGGGTTGCAGTGTTTTGTCAAACACACAAGAAAGACACATCCGTATACTCAGTGACAACACCACTGCTGTTAATGTACTCAACAATATGGGCACCAGTCATTCGGAGCAACTCAATGCTTTAACTAAGGAAATATGGGAATGGTGCATTTTACTAAATTTATGGCTAAGCGCTGCACATATCCCTGGGAAGCAAAATTTGATCGCAGATTTGAGTCAAGAAGGAACCAAAAAGAGTCTAATCTGAATGGAAACTCGATGCGGGGTCCCTAAATAGAGCTTTACGCCAACTGGGATTTACCCGGATGTAGACCTTTTTGCTTCAGGCATCAACTACCAGTTTGATAAATATGTTTCGTTCAGGCCTGACCCTAAAGCTTTTGCCATAGATGCTTTCAAATTGGACTGGTCAGAATTAAACTTCTATGCTTTACCACCATTTAGCGTCATCCCCGCCATGTTGAGCAAAATACTTCACGAGAAAGCATCGGGGATCTGCGTGCTCCCGGACTGGCCAACCCAGCCATGGTACGCCAATGCTCTTCAGCTGATGCAACAGACAGCAGTGTACCTGAAAGCAGGCAGAACCCTACTAACCCTGCCAAGCAGTCCGTCAGAAATTCACCCGATCTGACACAAACTAAATCTCATGATCTACCACTTATCAGGCACAAATTAGACCAATATCAATTGTCACCCTCGGCAACGGAGGTGTTAATGGGTTCGTGGCCAGAGGGTACAACAAAACAATACCAAACATACTTAAAGCGTTGGCAGAGCTTCTGTGAACACAGAAACATCGACATTTATTGCCCAGGAGTTGCCATGGGGATCGAGTTCTTAGTTTCACTATACTGGTCGGGGTTGGGCTACAGCGCAGTTAATGCAGCTAGATCTGCACTGTCAGCTACAATCTTATCCGAGGGTATACCATTCGGTGAGCACCCTCTCGTTATCCGTTGTATGAAAGGCATTTTTGAGTTAAAACCGGCATTACCTAAGTACACGGAAATTTGGGATGTTAATAATGTATTAAACTACCTTAAAAGATTTAGTCCTATTAAGGGTTCCTTAGCCCTGAAGGACCTAACGTTGAATTTAAGCATGTTATTATGTCTAACAGCTGGACAAAGAGGACAAACCCTACTTTACATGGACACACGTTCTATTCAGGAACTAGACGATGGCTTCCGAATTATCATTAACGAAAAGCTTAAACAAACTAAGCCAGGTAAACATTTGGCTCCTATTAAGGTAATAGCATACCCGGATGACAAGAGAATCTGCGTCGTGGATTATTTGAAGGAATACCTAACCAGGACGAAGCCGTTTAGAAAAGAAGTCACTCAGCTATTAATCAGTTATGCTAAACCATTTAAACCGGTTACCAAGGATACCATAGCAAGATGGGTCAGAGATGTGCTGGAGATTGTAGCTGACAGTGCAGATCTACCTGTATTAAGTGCGCTGTAGCCCAACCCCGACCTGTATAGTGAAACTAAAAACTCGATTCCCATGGCAACTCCTGGGCAACAAATGTCAATGTTTCCGTGTTCACAGAAGCTCTGCCAACGCTTTAAGTTTGATTGATATTGTAAATTGGCCACCGTGACGATTATAAAAGCTGACGTTTCGAACGTTAGCCCTTCGTCGGCTCGAAACGCCAGCTTTTATAATCGTAACGGTGGCCAATTTACCATTTCAACTTTACGTATGATGCACGATCCTCGCAGTAGATAGCGCTATTTATGCAATAGCGAAAATCAGACCTGAAAAAAATTTTTTTCAGGTCTGATTTTCGCTATTGCATAAATAGCGCTATCTACTGCGAGGATCGTGCATCATACGTAAAGTTGAAATGGTAAATTGGCCACCGTTACGATTATAAAAGCTGGCGTTTCGAGCCGACGAAGGGCCAATTTACAATATCAATCAAACTTAAAGCGTTGGCAGAGCTTCTGTGAACACGGAAACATTGACATTTGTTGCCCAGGAGTTGCCATGGGAATCGAGTTTTTAGTTTCACTATACAGGTCGGGGTTGGGCTACAGCGCACTTAATACAGGTAGATCTGCACTGTCAGCTACAATCTTATCTGAGGGTATACCATTCGGTGAGCACCCTCGTTATCCGTTGCTCGAAAGGCATTTTTTGAGTTAAAACCGGCATTACCTAGGTACACGGAAATTTGGGATGTTAATAATGTACTAAACTACCTTAAAAGATTTAGTCCTATTAAGGGTTCCTTAACCCTGAAGGACCTAACGTTCAATTTAAGCATGTTATTATGTCTAACAACTGGACATAGAGGACAAACCCTACTTTACATGGACACACGTTCTATTCAGGAACTAGACGATGGCTTCCGAATTATCATCAACGAAAAGCTTAAACTAAGCCAGGTATACATTTGGCTCCCATTAAGGTAATAGCATACCCGGATGACAAGAGAATCTGCGTCGTGGATTATTTGAAGGAATACTTAACCAGGACGAAACCGTTTAGAAAAGAAGTCACTTAGCTATTAATCAGTTATGCTGAACCATTTAAACCAGTTACCAAGGATACCATCCCAAGATGGGTCAGAAATGTGCTGGAACAGTCGGGTATAGATGTTAAAAAATACTCCCCGCACAGTAGCAGAGCCGCTTCAACTTCGCACTGTAAAGCCAAAGGACTAACCTTAACAGAGATCATGAAAACTGCAGGATGGTCAAACGTTCGTACTTTTGCACGATATTATGATAAGCCCCTAGAAACAGATGATCTCAACTTTGGAACAGTTTTGTTGAACTCTACAACCAGTAACTAGAGATTGTTGTACAATATGAGACGTTTTATTCCTGTAAAGCTTTGTGGACCCAATAAATTGGACTATTATTTATGAGTTCGCTCTACAGGTCTTTGAACTCTCATGTGATTCCGTAGTGACGCAAGACTGATGACATGGTAGAATTGTTGATTAAACCAGACTTACCTGTAAGTCGAAGTTTGATTGGGATTCTACCATGTCATTAGTCCACAGGCAGCCCAAGCTCACTACTAGAAAAGCGGACGTCACTCTTACAGTGTTGCGCAACGTTCTATAGGCAAACCGATAACATCCCACACAAACCTTTATAAATATAAAACGTTGCGCAACACTTTAAGAGTCGCGTCCGCTTTTCTGGTAGTGAGCTTGGGCTGCCTGTGGCTGGAGCCGTGACATTACCTGGAATGCGTTTTCTCACTCACTCGTTCCCAGTCTTCACACAGAGTGGTGAGCAGGATGTATCAAATGTTCACTTCAATCTCCGCTCTTTAAAAAGTCATCAGACTTCTGGATTGACCGCAGGCGGCCCAAGCTCTCTTTGAGAACCACACAAGGAACTCAATTTGCATATCGATTTATAAGGATTTGTATGGGATTTTCTACAAGATATCCATAGAGATAGTTTAAAGTGAAAACATTAAATAAAAATGGCTTAACTTACTTTTTTTCTCTTAAGAGAAAACCAGGATTAAAAAAACCGCTTAAATCAAGTGAAATCGGTAAAATAACGACACCAGGAGCAAACAACACATGTATAGAGTAATGTCGCCACCAGAGCTAAACAAATGTCTTCCGAAATTTTATCTGTCAGCGACAAAACGAGACGGCAGGTTTTACAACAAAAAATCACTTACCGCCATCTGAGCCGCGTTGGATCGTTACGCGCGGAAAAATGTTGGAATCGTTGCTGGAATGTATGAATTAAAATCAATTTTTGGTGGTGTATATTATCTACTGTTTTAGTATATACTAAAACAACTATCCACCTCAGTGTCAGTGGTTAGCGGTGAATATTTACCTCGCCGCTTCGCGGCTCGGTAAATATCCACCACTAACCACCTCCACTTCTGTGAATAGTTGTTAAATATCTGGGAACAGAGGTTGACGAGGCATTGGGATGGCAATCCCATGTAGATGCCATCTGTAAAAAGGTATCTGCAGGTATAGGGGCCTTAAAACGTATTCGTTCCCTGGTGCCTCGCCAAACCCTACTGAAAATGTATGATGCTTTAGTCGCTCCTTATTTTGATTATTGCTCCGAGGTCTGGGGATGTATATGAAAAGGCCTGTGTGACAGACTCCACAGATTGCAAAATAGGGTTGGGAGAATTATAACATTTAGTGATTACAATACAAAATCTGCGGATATCCTCCAAGAGTTGAGATGGGATACGCTTGAGCAAAGACGCTCTAAACAGCTCGCAATTAGGGTTTTTAAATCTCTAACTTTTACCCTGAGAGTTTAAAGAACATGTTCAAAGCAACCTCCGTGGTTCATTCTTACAATGTGCGAGGTGTCACGAACAATATTTTTGTACCAAAGCCCCGTACTGAATATGCTAAGCGGGCTTTTAGCTTTTGGGGAGCAGTCATGTGGAATGACCAAGAAAATGTGTTTTAAGACGAAATAAATCTCAACTCTTTGAAGTCTGCTCTGTCTTGAACCATGGATTACGTTGAGGGAGTTGAGATTGAATTTACTTTAGTTATTTAATGTACCTTTAAGGTTGATTGATTCCTATGTAATTAATTAGAGGATAGATTTTCTTAATATATAGAAATATTTTAGCATTAATATAGTTTCTTTGAAAATTTTTGTTATGTACACGGCCCACTGGAAGAGCATGTTTTAATTTTTATTGAAGTGATACCGTTAATAAAGCTTGATTGATTGATTGATTGAATGACGTATTTGAGTCACAAAGTCCAATATACAATAAAACTTTACTTTCCATTACGTTACAGGAAATGGAAACCTAGTTTTTGAGATATTTACATGCTTCAATAGTGCTACTTGAAAGTGTTAGTACACGCTGCTGAAGGTAATCTAACTTTTAATTTTTTCATTCTTAACTGGCTTGAATCCCTATAACAGTTCAAGGTTTTCCTCACCAAAAAATAGCCTCTTTTTCGAAATCAAAGTCCACAGACCTTACAGAAAACTTGGAAATATTAGTAAGATTTTCTGGTCTAAGGGAACAAATTATAAAAGAAAATATCTTGTGCTCTTGGGTCCAAGGAGATGAAATCATTTTCGAAAAAGAAAATAGTTATTAACGTTAACATTAGCCTATTCTTTCAAGCAGTGTGTCCGAGTAACCAGGGGAGTAGAACCTGAAGTGAAAAACCAAAAACAGTTCTAAGCGATAACACGTCACAACATACATGTCATTTATCGAACATCTTTTAAACAAAAAACGAGCGTGATTGGGCAACCAACAAACTAGCTGTGTTTGTTCCGATGTCATTTTTCAAGGTGTCAAGAATATCACGACACGATTTAGCCACAAAAAATAGGGCAACAGGGCAAATTTCAATTGAGCGTCAAAAGTAATCCGGGAATGCTTTGGTTTTCTTCACTTTGCTCTGTGATTGGTCCAGAAGACTCGCTCCACTTTCTCAATCAACCAGACGCAAAACTAAAACCAATCACGACTTGGTCGCCGGCGCTTTCCCACGTTTTCCCGCGCTTTAGGCAGTTTGGTTGTTTTTACTTCGAGTTCTCATTGGCTCTTTCAAGGTATTTTCTTTTTTTCAGATTGGTCGTTGTGATTACATTGATTTTGGTTTTACGAGACTCAATCGAATAGCGCTCAAATGAAAGGTAAATAATTTAATCAACTTAAAAGCGAACCGCACTAAACAACATTGGTGTTTTCATGATCACTTACTTGACGATTTCTTCAGGGTAACAGTTGTTGATGGTGTTTATGTGTTCACTGAGTGCTGTGTTCCCTTCTGCATTAATCTCTTGGATTTTTTTCAAACTTCCACTCGTCACAAACAGTCGACGGGCCTTCACATCGTGCGGGAGAACTTTAGCAAACTGACTTACAATGTGTTTCAAGATGTTTGGCGGTGCGTCTTTCAGCAGAGGTTCTAACGCTGGCAAAGACACGCACTTCTGTAGGATGTTGGTCAGAGCTTTCTTGGACTAGAAGAAACGCAACAATTATATCAATTGTAAATCAACAAAGTATCCTGGCGCGGTTTTGCGTGCGCTTTAAAGCGTTAATCAGCGGACGAGCGAAGAAGAGCAGCGACCGGACGTTTTCGCAAACTTGCCGCCTACTAACGTGCGCGCCCAAAAACTCAGCTACGCAGGTTTGCTGCAGCTCACAATGACTGCAGGTTTACGTGACTGCAGCTCGTACTGGAAACGCCGTAACGATGATAGCATCTTCTGGTTTCTTCCCTCCTTACATAGTTTTCCAATGTTAATTTAGAAATGGGCGTGGCAAAGGACAGTCGAAAGAGAGCTTAAGGAGCGGGGACTGAGAACCTGAGGTAAGGCAGACGTACCAGCGGGGGTAAAGCAGCTTAGAGAGTAAGAGGGAGCAGCCTGGAGAGTAAGAGGGAGCAGCCTGGAGAGTAAGAGGGAGCAGCCTAGAGAGTAAGAGGGAGCAGCCTGGAGAGTAAGAGGGAGCAGCCTGGAGAGTAAGAGGGAGCAGCCTGGAGAGTAAGAGGGAGCAGCCTGGAGAGTAAGAGGGAGCAGCCTGGAGAGTAAGAGGGAGCAGCCTGGAGAGTAAGAGGGAGCAGCCTGGAGAGTAAGAGGGAGCAGCCTGGAGAGTAAGAGGGAGCAGCCTGGAGAGTAAGAGGGAGCAGCCTGGAGAGTAAGAGGNTTTATTCATAAGCATTTCTAAACCCTACTTTACCAGGAGTAACCAGCGTAAATATTATCCTTGGCTTCTCATTTCGACACAGTGTGTTGCAAGCAAGTTACGAGAATTGTCAACTAGAAAATAGTGCTTTGACAGTAACGAAGAATTCTCAAAAATGGCCTACAAAGGTTTTTGTACGGTGACCGGGTTGGTAAAGAACAGCATGGTATGCCAAGTAAGGTATCCCTGTACAAAACAAGACGGAACAAGAAGGTGCGATAAAGATTTTTTCCCACCAGCACCGGAACAAAACGGATGCTCCATTCATAATGCTAAGTACTATGCTAGCCATAAGACTGCAAAGCCGTACCTTAGCTTGTAGGTCCTCTGAGCTAGAAGAGTCTTGGTAACAATCCAACAAGGACTTCAACACATTAGTGCCTGCCACTTCCTCTGCGTGGACTGGTGTATGTCTTCCAATCTGACCCAGGGCCCAAGCTGTAGCAGCCTATTGGAAACAAAATTAAGGGTGTTTGGTTCGCGATCTCAAGAAACTTTGTTCATTTGGTGAAAAGAGCCAAGTTACTGGGGGAAATAAAGTGTGTGAGATGTACGTAGTTGATTAAACATGAGAAAGTTGTATTCCGGATTTAGGAGTCCCGGCTGAGTGTTGTGGCCAAGTGTGACAAATTCTTAAGCAAGACACATGGCTTGCCTTTTTCCAACTGGGAGAATCAACTGTCAAGAAAACTTGACAAAGAAATATTTTGATGTAAGGCCATTTTGTTACAAAACATCACATTTTAGGCTTCAAACTAAGGTTTAACTTCACACATTCTTTCACAAAGTAGTAAATTCTAAATGGTAAAAAGAATTTATGATACTGTAGATATTTTACAGTCAGAAGAGAGAGGTAAAGGAAGAAGAGTTGCAAAATCTAATGAAACCAAAAATACTGTCTTTCAACAGTTCAAAAACTGACCACCAAGACTTGTTAAAACAACATATACCTGTATGTGATCTTCTTCATTCCCTCTTAGCTGGGTGGAACGCTACATTTGTGAGAGGAACAGACTTCACATTATTTAATATTAATTTATTCCATTTTCCTAGCATTAACTTAATTCCATAAGGAAACAATTATATAACTACCTATACTAAGAACTAAAAGACCAAAAAAACAAAGACAAAGACAAAGAAAACAAACAAACAAAAAAAACAGACAAACAAACAACAAACAAACAAACAACAAACAAACAAAAAATTTGCAGTGGGGAAGGACTAGAAGGGAACATACGAACCATTCGAGCTAGTCCACCTAGGATGAAATACAGTGTCAATGACAATACAGTCTATCAGGTGATTTATCCCTTGGCCTCTAAGAGCAACCTGTTATCTCAATTCTCCCTTCAGTATCTTTGTAATTCACAGACAAATTTGTCATACTGCAAATAATGCTAATATCATTTATATCTTTGCTTATATTCAAATATTTTTTTGAATTTATATTTATGTTGTGTCCCCTATAATTAGCACAGGTTTTTAATCTAAGCTAGGAGGTTTCTTTAGACGCTTAAAGTTTCATCATCATCATCATCATCATCATCATCATTATCACCTCTGAATGAGACATAAGGTTCATGAGAATAAAGGAAAATGATCATTGGTTCAGTTTTTTTTTTTAAAGGTGATATGTTATAGGGCCAACCTGACTGTTTCTTCCTTTTCAAGTTGTATTTGTTTTGTTTTCAAGGCAATTTGAATAAATCATTCTGTCATACTATGTATTTGTTTTAAAAAATCCTTAGGAAATGCATAGAGAGCAGTTTAATGGAGAATACCAATATTGATGTCAGGTCGTAAAGGATTAATTTGATTCTGGGTCTCTAAATACAACACTTTCACTGAGGTGTGTACTATGTGCATATTCCCAGCTTCATGATTCCAAAAATGACCAAACTGACTGGGTACAGATGGTCATGGCTGAGTTCCAACCTATGGGGCCCAGGGGGTACAAAACAGCTAAACAAAATAGGTACGAAAGGTCCCAGCTGGGTACCATGACGATCAAAACGTAAAATTCATGAAACACTTTATGCGCAAGCACATGAGCAAATGTCGATTGTTGAGTACGATAAGTTAGTAAAATGTCATGCGAACAATTAAGAAACAAGGAAAGTTTATGTGAGGGCCATGAGTTTATCAGTTCAATTATTGTCTTATGCTACCTTCGTTAGATCAAACATACTTTAGTAGCATGGGTAAAAAAGGTAATCCCACACTTCCTCTCGAACACAAATATTTGGAACCAAGAATTTGAAAGTTTACTTGGATTTTTTTATGAATTAGAGACACAAGTCTCTCAGTCTCTTCCCATTGTAGAGAAAAAATTAGGAATTCATACTTATCGATCAGTATGACATTTATAATATATCAGTATCAAATAGCTCAAAATACCTGCTGCAGGGTGTGGTCAAGCTCACTTCGTGATATAATGCCAGCTAACACAATTGCTCCCTGTAATAAGAACCATTCCAAAATCATTTTAACTTACATCCACAAGCTGTAGGTGTGGGCAGAGATGATAAAATTGTCAAGCAGAAAGGGAAATGTCTAATTAATAGCACTCTTCAGCCCACAGGAATAAATCCACCTGAAGGGAACTTGTGAGGTTTTGAAGAGTAATTTACTGGGTAAGCCATGGATTGCTTATTACTATAAATATCATCTGTTATGAGGGCTTCAACTTCTCTCTATTGGATGAAAAAACAACAGTCTTAAATCAGAACAATTGATTTCAAAACACCTTCAAGTAAATGTATGTACCTTTGCACGAATGACAGACATGGCAAGTGTTTCTGAGTGAGCAGCAACATATCCAAGCATCATAATGCCAGGTAATCGCACATTTCCTCTTGATTCTTTTATGAAATCAACCACAGCTGCTACTCCTCCCGCATTTGATATCAAAAGAGCAAGCTGAGAAAGAGAACAACGTTTCAAGTATAATTATATAATTTCTGGAAAGTGTCTCAACAAGATTTAACAGCTGGTTTCAAAACATATCAAGTAAAAAAAATTAAGTAACTTAATCTATGACTAGTTATACCTCTGGTGTGTGTTTAGCAATTTCTCTGATTAAAGTTGCCACATTTTTTTTCACATACTCGTCTTCATCTACAAGCAAACAAAATCAAATAATTAAATTAGAACACTCTTTAAAATTTTAAAATTTATACACTTAGGGAAGGTACGTTTTTTATTAAGGGGGGGTGGGCTGGAGCTTCGGAGGGGAGGGTCATTAGTAAATATTTTACAAATTGGGGAGGGTCAAACCTGTTTGGTATGCAGCCAGGGGAGGGTCACAGTTTTTTTTTTTGTTTTTTTTTCGGCAAGGAAAAAACTACTCCATGTCGGTTAGTTGACTTTTAATTATTTGTTACCAAACACGCGAAGTGTATAGAAACCTAAAACCTATATATGCAAGCAAAGTTATCAGTCTAAATCAATCTACATCATTTTAAACAGATGTCGAGATATCATGTCAAAAAACTATCTTCTCCAAACTAACGTAAATTGTCTCTTTGGACCCATGCCCGCTTTCGTCCATATTTTGACGTCGGTAATGTTTCCGTGCGGGGTTCTGGTATAAAATTAGTGTCCGGTGACAATTCGTTACTTGAGCTACTCCATCTGATAGGCTTAGCCACAAGTTGCTTGGCAACTTTTAGAATTTTTCAGCAACTTTGGACTTATTGAGGTTCTCTGAAGCCACTTTCTTCACGTTTTGAGCCACATTGGTCAGTTTTCGATAGACATTTATTCTAAAATACAATAATTAGGCCGCCCCCATGGATTGATTTTTGTGATGCCTTATCACGAGGTCAGCGGTATCACGTTGCACGTTTTTCAAGATGGCGGACAATTACAGTGACTATTTGTTGATCAAGTGAAATGGAAAGAACCTCTGATATTATCATTGGACTTTGACAAATAAA